AGTTGCTAATAGCAAATCCCACCTTGGAGTTTACAAAGACTTATGGGTAGAAAAGCCACACTAAGTAATTTACTACACTGCAGGGCCATAGTCTTGTAGGTCTCACCAGGCTCTGCCAGACCAGTAGGTCTCACCAGGCTCTGCCAGACCAGTAAACCTGGTCTTTTTTTTTTTTTTTGATTTTGAGTTTTGCTCCATGTTGTTCTCCCACCCTACCCAGGATCTCCTGCGCTGATTGCTTTCCGAGTTGACAGTGGTAGCTGTGCACCATCTAGTTCTTCTGGTCTCATGGTCATATAGGCTTAGGTTCACATGGTCCACTAGTTCCTTGGACTAATTGTTTCCATACTTCTTTGGTCAAGGCTGTTGTTGTTATGTGCCGTCAAGTCAGATCCAACTCATAGCGACCCCTCCTTGGGTTTCCAAAGCGGTATCACTATGGAAGTAGATTGCCCAACCTTCCTTCCGAGGAGTGACTGGTGGGTTTGAACCGCCAGCCTTCTGGTTAGCAGTCAAGTACTTTAGGCACTATGCTACCAGAGCTCCTCCCATAGGTCTGTTCAAATTTTCTATCTCAGTTTGTGTTAGTTTGGGTAGGTAGTGCATTTCTAGAAATTTGTCCCTTTCTTCTAGTTTTCAAATTTGTTAAGGTATAATTTTTCATATTCTGTTACAATCCTTTTTTCTTAGTTGGTTCTTTTGTAATATCCTCCATCTCATTTCTTATTTTGGTTTTTTGTATCTTCTCATTTCTTTTCCTTACTAATTTGGCCAGTGAAAATCAATTTTATTGATCTTCTCAAAGAACCAACTTCTACTCTTGTTGATTCTTTCTATTATTTTTCAGTTTTCTATTTCATTTACTTCTGCTCTTTATTATTTTCTTCTGATGATTATGGACTTCTTTTGCTGCTCCTTTTCTATGTGTTTAACTTGTAGGGTTTTATCAAATGCTTTTTCTATCTATATCAAAATAGAATTTTTATCTTTGTTTTCTGTTAATGAAGTAAATTATATTGATTAAATTCAATAATGTATTCCAGTGAAAATTTTGGAAGTTAGCTATAATTAACCAAAGAGGAAAATGTTAATCTTGGTGAAATATAAGATTTTTTTTTTCAATTCCTAAAGTTTTTACAAAATGGGTAGGCATTTAATACATTTGTATGTAGATCATCTCTAACAACAAATATTGAGTCATTTAAAACAGAGATCAACAAGAATGAAAATGCAGTGTTAAACAGAGGAAATGAAAGATTTAATATGGATAAGTAACGGTTCTAAAACTGAATCAGTTACTTTAGGTACTGATTAGAGAAAATAATACATGACAAAAATAATGTAGAAGAGTCAACAAAGTGCCAAAATAAACCTCTGAGAAAAGAATTTTAACCTTTTATTTTTCTAAACAAGCCAATTTTCATTTCCACAAATGGGAGGAAACCAGAGTACAGATGTATATACATATATGTATGAAGGGTATTTAGCTTCTTAAATGTTTCCTTTATGCCAATACTAATATTGAACTAGTAACAACACTAATAACAACCTGAGATATGCAGACGATACAACTTTGCTTGCTGAAAGTGAAGATGACTTAAGGCACCTACTGATGAAGGTTGAAGAATACAGTCTGCAGTATGGATTACGTCTCAATATAAAGAAAACAAAAATCCTCACAAC